ATTCTGAATCTGAATCTGAAATAACTGATTTGTAATAAACCAAACAAAGTGAGGGATGTTGTGAAAAGGGGGTAAGAGCACCTGCTCATGGGGTATAAGATAAGTCCTGCAAGGTTTACTTTTAATAGGAGGAGGCCTGAGTGCAATAAGAAAGGCTTTGTGACCAAAGGCAAGAGGATCCAACAGCCATAAAGAGCACACACTGAGTAAATGAGTGCGTGTTTACGTTTCTGTGTTTTCAGCTGGGCAGAGGAAATAAGTATAAAATTGTTCCCTCCACAATTGCAGCTTTATTTTGTAGACACTTTAAATTGAAGCGAAGATGGGACCATATAGTGTGAGTCTACCTTTTGCTGGATGGTCGAGTGTTTCTGCTCCATGTCCCTCTTCTCTTTGGCAGCATCCACCACCAGCTGGTCCAACTGCAAGAGACAGAACAACTGATTAGTCAAGATTAATGAATCAGCTGATCACACATTTTTAATTCAAAACAGCATGCACAAATGTTTAAGACACATTTTCTGAGTTTTTCTTTTAACAAAATGTAATTTTCTGTATTGGGTAAATTCAAAGGACTTGAAATAGTATTAATTTTTATTAAAGGAAAAAATATGAACACATCACAGTCTTTATTTTGCAAAATAATGAGAAAAAGTAGGTAAGAGACTCTTTGAACTGCACTTGAAAGGTGTATGTAAGCATGTGTGCACTGATTCTTCTGTATTTCCCTTTCCAATCTTGAGAGCATAAATGATTCCAGCAAATAAACAACATTTCCACAGGCCACATCCAGACAAGATAGGCCTTCTCTTCTGAACAAAATGGGCTGTGCTACGGAGGCTTGATCATGTGTGAAATTGGATGGGAGATGATTGATTCTCCTCGTCCCCACAAGTAACCATTGCGTGTAGAGACAAAAACAAAGGAGCGTTTCAGCAGAGAAGAAAGCAACAAATTAAAAAAAGGACTTCAATGAAGTGCTGGAGGTCACAGGGTGATGCCGAAAATGTGCCAGTTTTGCCTTACAGCAGTTAAATTCTACTCTTGATAGGCTGCTGCCGCAATGTGACCTAAATCAACGTGTCTCGCGCCTCAAACACAAAAGGATCAGTATCTGATTATGATCCATGTGAATAAGGGGTGAGTAGGGTTCAAAGCTTCAGTTAGAAAAATAAGTGGGGAATTCTGGAGGATGTAACAGATTTATCTGCCAGGAACCGACTGCCTTAAATCACACACGATTAACTTGTTGCTCTTTACTATATAAATTTAGCTTGATAACAGGTGTGTCAAGAAACTCTTAATAGTTGTCATGGAGCCAACCTGAACCTAGTACTCTTAATTACACAACGCAAATTATGTAACTTGTCAACACTGAAAAAACAACAACTCATTAGGATTTGTTCAACATCATCACTCTCTTTGTGGCCATGTTAATGCATTACATCCCTAAAAGGCCTTGATTTCTTTAAAATTAGAATATAGTGTTTGTTAGGCATGTTAATCACAAGTGTGATGTTTACTAGAGATTAGCTACGTCCATTGTCTGCACCTGTGGTGGCTTTTCTGACACTAGTTACAGTTGCACAAATTCAAGCTGAATGGCAATTCATATGAATGTGTTACAGAGAAGCCAGTGTACCAAATGAGACAGAAGAGGGTGGAAACAACATTTTACTTCCTTTCTGCTGCTCCTGAGTTTTGTATTGTAGCTTTTGACAGCTACAATTCTCAGCAAGATAACATTCGACTTAATGCTTAATTCACTGAGCCTCTTCCACAAAACATATTAATTTTGAGTAAAATATTTACAAAAAAGCTGCTATCTGATCATTTCAGAGGAGACAGCATTTGAGGGAGCCGGGTCTTTTGTTTTGTTTAGAGAGGAAATGGGTGGACGGCAGAACAGCAGGCTGATAACATCAGATGGGAAATGCTTTCCCCTGTCTCTCCGTAACTAGCCCAGTCCAGTCCGTCTATCTGCTACAACAGTATCTGCAAAGGCAGGTGTGTGTGTGGGTTTGTGTGCGCAGCTCTCCACATATTTTCTGACAGTGACTCACATTAACTTTAACATCTTATCAATCTTACTATGCCTGCCCCCCCCACTGACGATGTTAGCAGAAACAATCCTCAACTGTTTCATGCTGCCTGTTTGTCGTCTACGCAGGACCAATCTGAAGTAATCTGGTCACTCTGCCTTTCTGTTCAAATCTGTCTTGACATGTAACTAGGATGAGACGCTGCATGATTAATGGAAAAGATACAAAACAAGCTTTTGAATGAATATATTCACTCAACATGTGTTCAGCCCTGAGGCATTGTGGTGGAAAGATGCAATCACCACAATGTCTTATATTTAGAAGCAGTTTAGCTGTTTCCAAAGGCACGGTGGAAAAAATAGCATATTTGACATGAATCATGAAGTTGTCATTCACAAGATATTTGATCCTAGATTTAATTTCATGTTTAAGTGTCTTGTCTTCCCCCTACTTTAACTTTCTGTATCAGTTACTGAGCTTTTGTCTACTTCAGCTCAGTAACTCATTCACAAACAACCACAGGAACATTACTGTAACAGTTACTCGGTTTTCTGCAACTCCTGTGTGTAACCCATGTTCCTGTTTTAGTTTTTTTCTGGTCACCATTATTATTATTCTTTTTTTTTACATATACATATATTTTTTTATTTATCATTTAGTCTGCTACAAGTTGTAATTTGAATTTTCAGCCTTCTGTTCCCAAAAAACATCAACATTGGCAGCAATATCATTCAAGATAACTAAACAATGTCCTACATCGCTTTAAAGCCTCCAACTTCTATCATTTCCTCACACAAAATCTCTTTAATTATAGAATAAAGAGGGACCAAAATGTACTGCCCAACCTGAATCACTCTCTCATTGTTACAGGCATCAAGTCATATTATCAGACCTGTTGACAGCTCCTCCACATCTCCCTGCATAGCCTCTCCACCTTCTTCAGTTTCATGATGGAGCAGAAAAAAGAAATAATCCTCTGGTCACTGCTTCCCACTGCTGGGCCTCTGATCTTCCTCTCCTTTCAGTTTTGCGCTGTTCCAAATTCAGTGCGACAGGCTTACAGTCCACACAGCGAACTTATACTTCAGTTGTTCATAGGCTTGAAACCAACCCTCTTTCTCTCTTTCCCTCCCTCTCTACGATTTGGTTTCCAAAACAGTCTTTTGCACTTCTCTTCCTTTTTCCTCACACAATCCTTACAGTCTTTGAGTGTTGAGGGCTTACAGTCCATGCCTTTCCATTCCACTTCAATCACTTTTTGCTTTGAGAAGATTACATTCTGCCTCTTATCCCTTCCTAAAATCGGCTTTTCAAAGTGGTTCCTGTCTTCCCCCTTCTTTTTTCCCAGCACTCTTTGGTCCTTTCTGTCAATTTCTTGATAGTACCAACGTCAGATGTTTCCAACTTCAGAGCATGAGGGTTAGAAAACCACACACTTCCCTCCGATCCAATTTAGAAGGCCACTGTCCCCACACTTTTGATTCTTTTTTTTTTTGGTTCCTTTTAGTCATTTTTTTGTTGATTCAAAGATCAGAAAAACATGTTTACGAGCTACACTCTATTCAGAAGTGCCCTCTCCTCTTCTGGTCGTCTTCAGTTCCCCACTCTGTGTCCGGACTCCTTCCTTGGTCTTTCACAGAATTTTTATAAATATAGAAATACGCTCTCTTATTCGGCCCTTCTACTGCTCCTGCCTCAGAGTTTATATTCCACAAGCTTCAGCATCAATTTCTGGTTTCTTTGCTGTGTTTGCTCAGCTGACTGTAAACCCTATAAGCTGTATTGTGGGAAAACCCGTTTCCAGCCCTCTGACTGATTTCTTCCTCATTCATGTTCACTGTAACAGCAGCCCCACTGTGATAATCATCTTAAAGTCAAATTTGGGCCGTCCTCTTGCTCAAAGGGAAGGCTCTGTTTATCAGAGGATGCACACAGACACACACACACACACACAGAGCTGAGGAAGCCAGGAAGATGGCCAAAAGTTACATTTCAGTCACCACCTGAAAAATTCCCTCAAAGCTATAAGCAAGCCCCTGAACAGGAACACTGTTTAGGTAATCAAACAATATCGTCCCTGTCTACATAATAAAAAGTGTTTACCCATGACAGTGCATTGGTATGTAAACTTAGCCGGCATTTATTCTCCTACTCTGCTCAAAATAGATTCCTGTTTGCTTATATTGTGAGAGTTTATACAGTATGTTCTAATAACATTGCAAGTGTTGTCCAGGATGAGCTTAGTGTTTATTTTAAAGTATTACATTAAAATGAAAGCAAAGAAGATCAACATAAATTATGAGCCTTCCCAGTTAATTAGCTGACAGAGTTCAGGCAGCGTTTAATATCTTCTAAAAACAAACTGATGTGATAGTGGATCCAATATAAATTTGAAAAATTATAATAAAATATCTGAAGTTCAATAAATTCAATAAAATGACATAATTACATCAACAAAACATAAGTGATGGAACAATATTGACAAATTAGTAATATTTAATATATATAGACAAAAAATATTGTTGATATATAAAAAAAGTAAGTAGTGTATATTGAAGCCCGTACCTGTCCTCCAAGCAGTTTCATTAGAGGTTGTAGTTCACTGAAGAGGTCATATCCTTGATGGAAGAATGTCAGGTGCGCGTACATGAAGGACAACATCTGCAGAGAAGACAGTGAATATTCAGAGAGCCAGTAAGGTTACTGCGAGATCATTTGATGTGTAAGAAAAGTATACTCACTGATTTCAGGATTTCCGATCTTCTTTTGGATTGTAGCACATTGATCTGTAAACAGCAAAAACAAACCGTGAGAAGTATGAAGGGGTTTTTATCACTGATCCTTTTCAGTAATACTGAAACAAAAAAGGAAAAATCAACACATAAAAGAGGCAAGCAGCAACCACCAAACTCATCACGATCTACAGTGACAGTATCTTATCTGAGAAACAAATGCACTGGGAGAAAGAAAGTGGCAGAGAAAAAGACAAATAAAGACAGAAAAAAGAACATAAGACTGTAAGACAGAAGACAACATAAGGGTAAGAAACTGCAGATGAAACTAAAAAAAGAACTTCTTAAGAAAAAGGCCAATGAAAGAAAGCAGACAAGCGTGAAATGAGTTGAACTGAAGCAGAAAAATCCCATCTTTACAGTAGTCTACAGTACTGACACCAGGGGGAGCTCCATCCTTTATGTTTAACCCACCTCATCTCACCTATCATCTACATTGCTGCATTCATTGTCACCTTCAGCTAATAACCACTGCGCCGCTCATCTGGCCTGGGACGTTATCTTGGGTTCATGTTGCAGATAAGTCATGGCAGGTTGTAAATACTGCAGGCAGTGCTTTCTGGCTTCATTGTGACTGACAGGAACTAATGACAGCTGTGTGACAGTAGAGTCACTGACTAGGCGCTGGGATGCATGGATGCATTTGGCTAGCATAGAAGGCGAGGCAGCTTCTGGATGAATTCTAACACTCTGCTTCATGTTTATGGATTATCCTGGTTTTCCTTTTTTGTGGTCATGAAAGCAGACACCACACTTCAGTCCACTCAAGAAGTTCAAATCCTTGTGGTGGCCAGCAATATTTTTTTGGCTGTAGGTTGAAAGGTCCTTTTCCTTGGCAACACTAACCACACTTGTGTTTATACACAGATCTAACTCCCACCGGAGAAGGAAGCTTATTTTTCCATCTCCTAGCCACAGTGGCCGGTGCATCACATCTTTTATGAGCCCCCTCCTTCTCTGGATGTCAGTTAGTAGTTTTAAGTGAAGTAGCCACAAGCAGAATTTATGAGCATCTGGTTGGTAATTGGTTGCTAAGTTGTGGTAATTCAACACTTGTAGGACTGTAAAGACACAAGGTTTGAGTAAGATTTAGGCTTAGTCACTATTAGGTGTGGGAAATTGCAAGTTTGTTAAGTTCTGTAGACAACTCCCATTTAGGTTTAACAGTTGTTAACTTCTGCTTTTCTGTGTTATGTGTGTATATTTAAAGTTATGCATTGGTTTGTGATCAGAGGTGATAACATCAAGATGAAGATGAATTTACACAATTTACTGCATGATGTGTTTTTCATCTTTTACATGTACATGTTGTGTTTTCTAGGCTTGACCGACAGCCAATAAAGCAAACCCGAAGTTTAAAGTTCAGTATTTTATGATGCAGCTCTACGTGGCACAGCAGGGTAAAAGAGACATGCTCCATTCTTAAACTGTCATGAATTCAAGTCTGGCTTACAACCTCTCTCATATATTTTCCTCTCCCTCTACCATCTTGCATGTCACTGTAAACTGTGCAACGTGTAATTAAGCAAAAATGCCACAAAAACAATCTAAAAAGAACAAAAAGTAAAGCTAAAAGCTGTCTCAAATGTTTTCTGCATGCACAGCTGCAGAAGTTAGCAGCATTTTAAAAGTGCTGACAGAACTACCCAAATGTGAAGCTTTAAAGGAGATCCATTTAAATCAGCTGTGCTAGCTACTGGGCTTATAGATTTCCTATAAGCATACTAACAAGATAGAAAAGGCAAGATAAAAACTCAACTAATTTCTCACAGCCAGGCTTCATTTTATGTGAGAGTGATTACACAGTGGGCCACTGGAGCAGACTGCCAAACCTATTTTGAGACCTGCTTTTGGGTTTCTTTTCAAAATCTAATTTTAGAGCAAACTGTGTCCATACAGTATTGTCTGTCCCTTTGGAGTGAGTTTCAATAACAGGGCTGCCAGCTGCCTTATCAGAGAGCATGACGCATTTATCTGTGCTCCTGTGGCCAAAAAGAGAGACCAGCTGATGTTTTTAATGATACGTAAGCAGTGTTTACTTCGAAATGTCAGAGTACAATACATCTGTGTGGCTTTGACAAAAATAAGGTCTAACAGATCTGAACAAATTGATAATATATTAAAAATCGATAAAAAAAGTACAAGGAACATATTTGCACAAAGGAGATATGCTGTGTATGCATTTAAATGCAAAAGATTTAATCACCTAAACTCATTTCCAACCACACAGATGATTCAACCTCTGAAAAGGGAATTGTGTTTTACGATATCGTATTAATAAAATTGTAAATCCTGACTCATTTTGAAGCCAGCTGTTTTTCTTCAAATGCTGGATACAATGCTGTAGCACTTCTCAACTACTGTAAAACCTGAGGGTTTTTTGTTATTACAGTAACAAGAAAAATCTTTCCAGTTCTTTCTTCTCAAGTACTTTCTGCTTTCTTCCTCTTCTGCTTGTTCACAAATTATTTTACATAATATGAAACAACTTTCCACCACAGTGCTTCATCAAACATGACGGTTCACTGGTCACAAGAACATTGTGCAATCATGACCATAACTTTTAAACTTCAAACTTTCTATTCATTCACTTTCTATCAGAATTTCACATATTTCTCAATTGCTGTGCTGTGTGTCTTCTTCTTATTATCGTCTTCTTCTTTCGCTTGTCCTGTTGAAGCTACTACAACTAATTCAACTGCTGCTCTCTGTGTCCTGTTAAAGCATCTGCCATGACTCCTTCCTGAGTCAAATCCATCCTGATGTGGAAGACTGGAACATGACAGGTGGATGAGCTTCACTTTGGATGTAACAGACTCAAACAGAGCTGCTGTTCGTTTGTCTCTGTGCCACATCAGCATTTTTTCAACCTGACTCAGCACATTATCCAAACCCATGTTGGCAAGACTGCACAGAGAAATATCCTACACGACGGTGTGTAGCTGAGCTTTTATTTTTTTAAAGCTTCTCTGTTAAAAGATGCATGTCAGCCATCTGTTGCTATATATAGGCCTGTCGAAATCTGTACCACTTTAGTGAACCCAACGTAGTTTTTCATGCGCTGCAAAATGTTGACTGAAATCAGACTCAACATTAAAGGAGTCCCATGATCACAGCATATAGTGTGATAATACGGAAAGAGATTTTCTGTCATATCCTATTAAGTATAAGTGTAAGTTTAAATAAAGTCGTGCCACTGCTACTTGAAATGTGTAGCTAGACTGCTTATAAAAAAAACGTAGCACGCAACACTTTTTTCTTAAAGAGGAAATTGACCTGAGGAAAAGAGTGCTACGATTCCTATTCTTAAATGAGCTGCCGTACCTGTAAGACGTAGTCGAGGACGATGTGTCGGAAGCACTTGCGTGTGGCAGTGAGGATGTTGGTTGCCTCCTCCACCTCATGCTGCTTGTTGCGGGGGGCCTGAGCGTTCTTGATCAGAGCTGCCTCCTTTTCCTCGCTCACTTTGTCAAATTGCTTCTTGGCTTCTTTGAACTTGCGTAGGTCACTGACAAAGGTAAAAGAGGTAACAGAGGTTTATAAAGACAAATTAAATGTGGGCCTTATTGTACAAGCATGTATTAGTATGTGGGAGTGTAAATGGGGAGACTTCTCATACTCATCAGTATATAAGAATAAAGGTTTTGCAAATTCTGTCTTGTGCTGTTTGACTTATTTCTGGTTACTTGATCTGGGTGGAAACACCATTAGATTATGCCACAAATACATAAAGTAGTACAACAGCATTTTAACACAATTTAGGGGTAAAGCTTAAGGGGTTTGAGAAACTCTATGACCAAGGTCAAAAAAGACAAGTCGCTTTGTTGTCAACAATCGTGTGAGGGGAAAGGTCAATATTAAAGGAAGCAAAGTTATCTCTGCATATGAGGCAACACGACCATGTTCAGGCAACAGGAACACACAGAGGTTAAAGGTGATTTTAGAAATCCTGGTTAGCTGGAAATCCAAGAAGGTTGATATAAACAAAATTATTTGCTAAAACATTTTGACCCAGGTCTTGTGCAGCACCACTTATCTTGGGGAGGAGGAAAAAGAACTCTGCTCCCCATGTTTGTTCCTTGGTGTGTTTTGTCTAAGTGATATTAATATCTGAGTGCTGCAAGGTAGTGAGTAATTATGATGGAACATGTTTCCCAGCTTTATCTGAGAAGTAAGGGTGCTGCTGATGTGGGTGTTTAGCCCTGGTGTGCCTGGGGCAAAAGCTGCTAATCCTTATAATGAAATAAACCAAAAGGCCCTAGTTTCCTGCACTTGTGCTTCCTGTAGTTATACAAGCAGTCTGGAATTCAAAAGGAATTAGGAGATTGTAAAAGGGGAGATATAAGGCTTGATTTGATGAGTAGGTAGGTAGGTAGATAGATAGATAGATAGATACGATACGAATGATAGATAGATAGATAGATAGATGACTAGGATAGAATAGATAGATAGATAGAAGATAGATAGATAATGATAGATACGATAGATAGAATACGATGGATAAATAGATAGACTCAGATAGATAGATAGATAGATGATAGATAGATAGATAGAATTGTCCTTGCGTGCCATGTCTGGATGCGCTGCCCATGAGATATATGACATCCCACCAGCTTCTATTATATATTCAGAATATCAAGAGAAGGTTTTCTGTGTTCAACATCCATTACACTTTTCCTCCAACACGGAACACAAATCTGGATACAAGCATGAGTAAAATGTAAATGTGCTGTGGCTTGTTTTCGCAGAGAGCTGACACAAAATGTAAATGTAGGCCATTCTTCAAAAGCTCAGATTTCTCAGTGATATAACCAGTTTTATCCATCTTTATTCAATTAATACTCACTCTTTGACAAATGTTTGAAGCTGGGTCTTGATTGATCTCTGGGCTTGATCGAATAATATCTGTAAAGAAAGAAAATAAGAAAGAGTAAATTATCTTTTCTGTTTGGCGAAACAGAACATTTGTTAGCTGAACAATTCATGCATTAACAATCTTAAGGCAGCAAAAAGCTGATAAATGTATTTACTTTCTAGGCCACCGGATGTTTTTGCAAGTCAGCATTCAGCACCTCTGTTTAGAAGGATTTCTGTTAACATCACAGGGTGCAATTAAGCCGCTAAATTTACACAAACAAGCTGACTTTGTAAACTCCCCTCATAAAGACATAAACACGAGAAATGACGCAATTTGCTTACTCTTGGTAATGAGTCATACTTTAACCTCATTAACCTGCATGCTTCCTTAAAAATGAGCTACCACAGAAAAGGTCCGACAATAGTCAGAATTGTGCTTTAGTGTGCTTTCACGTCGGACAAGACAATACGAGCAGTGTCTCTAGCAGTGACAAACAGATTGAGGACTGTGTTTGAGTGGATCATGTGCCGAAAGATCGCTGAGTGGCAAAAACCTATCTGACAGTCAGCTGACATGACCTCAATTTCCACTGTTGAGTCACAGTCACAGGCACTGTGGCTCCTGGAGGCTTTCAGGGGTCTAGTCAAGGAAGCTAATAAGAGGAAACACACTCCAGTGTTGATTCATGGTAGCCTGCCCACCTTGCAGCTTTTTGGGATACTAGTTAAAAAGACATATACAGTAATTCATTTAACCTGTAAATGTTACAGTCTGGCTTAAAGGTGAAACTAAGAATGTCTATAGAACTAAACCTGAAGAAGAACAAATTCAGCTTTAAAGGCTACATAAACAATGTTAAAATTATCAGTTTAAAGATGTGTTTCATGAGAAAAACTTTACTAATATTACAGATGAATCTGCTTATTTTTTGACTAATCAACTCACTGTTTGCTGAAAAGTTGCTATACTGCAAGACAAGACTAAGACTAATCTTCAGATTGAATACGCTTGAACCATCAAATGCTTGGCCTTTTTGCTTGACAAATCATTTACATTATTAATCAATTACCAAAATAGGGGGGAGTAACGTTGAGTCTGGTCTATGTACCTTCATTTTCACAGAAAACATTGTGAAAGCAAGACTTATAGGGAAAGTGCAGAATGATGGTGTCATTATTCTTTAGCCGTTACACTGTGGAATCAACATTTACTTTACAATGATAAGTTACAGCAAAAAAGTCTATTCTCACTTTAAAGTTAATGAAGTCAATATAATATTTGTAGGGATGCACAGGTAGCACAGTCCCACAAGCACAAAGATCATACGGGTTCCCAGTAGCAGAACCCCTAGCCTGGTAGTTTGTTCTGACATGTCTAAGACAGTGTGATGCTGGCACAGAGTTAATAGGAACAAGACATGACAAGGGATATCAAGAAAATGACTTCTACTGTTGAACAAAAGCCTCTAGTTCACCCTGTGCCTCCTTACTGTGTGATTCTTAATGAGAGGACAAACAGAAATGTGCGTCTCCATCTCTAAATGTCAGCGTCGTGTGTACCAGAGACTGACAGCGGAGGAGGCTAACGAGTGGGAACAAACAGCCACATAATCAGATCTGTCCTACTGGGTTCAGTGGAGAGTTTAGAGGGGGGCAAGAGAGGATAGAACAATGGGTAAGGTGTCATGTTTATTTATTGTCCAGGATCTAGTAGTTGGAAGTGGAGTGCATTAGACGACCATGCTGTAAAAGCTATAAGGCCAACAGACTATATTACTCTGCCGGATCCTGGAATGGTTCTTCATGCAGTTCAGCTGACTCCAGGATGACAACCACATCGTAAAAAAGTAGACCATGACCATGTTTACCTCAGTAACGCATGATTTATTCCAACAAATAAACACTCCACAACATGGGAAGCAGGGAATAGATTTTATGAGATAGAAAAACTCTCTCTCCATACCATGGAATTTATGTCTTAGAGCTTTGTTACATGACTTATTCAACCTTTCAAGATTTTCCATTTACCCACTTTTTTTTTTTTATAGAGGGCAGTGTTTGCTGAGCAAGCAGGCACGTTTTCAGCAACACTCCGCTTCACAGTTTTATAGTAATATGAAATCCCACCTAGAAGCTGCTTACTATAGCCACTTTATTTTACTTCTGAAAAAGCGTTTCTTGTACACTTTCCGCTTTATTTCTCCAACCAGTGGCCATCCTCTCATAGACCCAACATCCTCTGTCTTGTAGTCTGCTGTGGTCCTTCCCAGCAGTAAATAAAAACTCTGACAGTTAAAGAGCTGTTGCAGACTGTTAGCCAAGCTGAGTTTTGTTATCACCCAGCTGTTAGGTGAAAAAAAAAAAAAACCCCAATACATCCGGTTTCACATGCCAGTGATAGCATACCGTGTGATAGTTGATCATCTCCTGCAGGCTCTCAGCAAACTTTGTGAGACTGGACTGTGGAGAGAAAAGAAAGACAGTTATGAGGGTAGACAGAGAAAGAATGTCACCATGTATCCTTATAACACAAACAATAGGACAAATAATAAAGACCTGTGTATGTCTGCGTAGGCACAAATTCTTCTGTCTGACAGGTATGGCTACACAGACACTGTGTCTGGCTTTTTGGAGACACAATAACATTTTGAGAAAGAATTCTTTTGGCTAAGTTACTCCCTCCAAATGCATGCAGTGGCTGAACTTCCAAACCCGAGGGAGAGGCATTGAGTGAAATACACAAAGGCAAGACAGGAAGCGCTTGCCTGGCTATGCAAAATTCATGTGAGAAAACAAAACAAAACAAAACATCTGACCTCGGCAAGACCCAGTGGACAGTACAAGGTTTAACTAGGCCTCATTTTTTTAAATTTAGATCTAATCTGGTAATGTCATCAAAAGAGACAAGAAGCTATTGCGTGCAAACAGAGAGGAAGTGCAGTCCTCTTTATATCTGGGAAGAAGGAAGAAGTCCGCCATGGTTTCACACTACTGATTTTAAATCTAATGTCTTGTAATGCACTATTATCTAAAATAGTAGTCCCATTAGCTCTTTGTTGTCTGTGTTCTCCACTGAGAAGATCAGGCGAATTATTTGCTGACATATGAAAAAGCGTTTTTTAAACCTAATTTGTCGTTGGTCCATTTGTTGTATGTTTTGTGGCTGCAGATTTTTTTAAATGCTAGCTGAAGTAAAATGCAGCAAGTACTCGACCAATCAGACATCAGAAAAGTTGCTGTACTTTCGGAAAATACTACCCCCCTGAGCAGGGACTTTTTGGGTGTAAAATAATGTCCCAAGAACTTATTTTAGACACAGATCCTTGCGGAATTCCTTCAAAAGGTTCCTAGTCACTGGGGAAAGTTCCTGTGGTAGAAACGTGGCTATTGTAATAGCACTAATGCTAGTGACGTTCTGTGATTCAGATCAAACCAGGTTGTTTTTTTTGTTTACCTCGATGACTTCATCTCTGGTGGACTGCTGGGCTAGCTCCCGGATTCCGTTAACAAACTGCTTATTAGCTGCATTGTAGGCTTTTCCAGCATCGATCATCCCAATACACAACTTCACCAGCTAGAGAAAGAAAGAGAAAGAAGCAAATGATTAGCGGCGGGGAAAGAAATAAAGAAATACAATACAGTAACAGAAGCACAGAGAAGGTGCTGGTCATTTCTTCAGGGTATTCTTTCTTATTAAAAACACTTGACGTTTGCTACTGAAAATAGATTTTAGGAATTGTAGATTTGGTGGAACTTGGTGCTGCAGAGCGTCGGACTAACACTGAAGAGCAAGATGCTTCGCCAGTTTCTTGGTAATTAACAACAGGCACTTCTTTCCCTTCTGACTCATTGGGGGCAAAGATAATTCCAGGTTATGTAAACTCACACCAAACACTGGCCGTTCTCCATCCACTCCCACACACACAGGAGATGACACAGAGCCTGAATGTGCCTCTGCAGCTGAAGCAGCTAAATAAAAACTCAACTATAAATGCTCATTTTAAGCAATTTCCTAGATAAGAAGTAAATGATCAACATTCAATTGATTAACAAAAGCTGATCAAATACAAACAATCTAATGAAACTAATCAAAATAATGCTGTCACTCAAAATATGGCATTTCATGTCCCATATTAATAATTATATAACTTTATAGCCTGGATTTCCTCTTTTTTGTTGTTTTTTTCTGTCTCACACTCAGTCTGTTGTTGGTGCACCACTTTCTACCATGACAAATTATTATTATAATTTTGTTGTATAAAATCATGTAAAACATTTATTTTTATAACCTTTTTATCTTCGGTAGTTGGGACTTTAAAGCTAATGTAGCTCCACTAATTTCAATTAAGACTTGACTGCTGCTGCTTTTCTTCACTGCACCTACGCTCTGCTCCATGTGGATATTCACTCAGTTGCCAGTTTATTAGTACACCCAAAATTCACATTAAAAAGGAATTGTGAACTCTCTGAGGGTTGCTTTCATTTCAAAGAAATTAAACCACAGTCTGATCTAAACCTAACCTGTAATAACCTTGAACAACCCGTTTAAGAGCAGATTTAATATTGGCACAGTTATAAGTATGTTTACTTTTGAAAACGTGGCCGTGTGTGTACATGTCTGAAACGCTCTCTCCGTTGTCTCTTGACTCCACCCATCAACGCGTACACACTCGCACACACACACACACACACACACACTATCACACACTATCACAGCTATATTCATGCACACAAACACACCCACTCCCCCGCAGATCCTTCCTCTCCAGAGCAAGAGGGGAAGTGAAGCCGGGGGTGAGTCACAGAGGTGGGGTGAGGAGGAGGGTGGTACTCTATAAGACTGTAAGTCCAGGAACAATGAACTGGGATCCTCCAAGCTCGAAAACTCGCCCTCAACTAGCGAACAGACTCTCAGCCCTGCAAAGCTCTGCAGGGATCCGCTGGGAGGAGGGATTGGTTTGTTTTCAGGGCAGGACACAACTACTTATTAACACTAGTTGTTTAGTTTTATTAGTTTATTATAGTTAATGTGAGCAGAGTGAGTGAGTCGAGAGAGAATGTACTCTGAATCAGTTGTAGGAAACAATACCAACAAATATTGACATTAAAAAACAAGAGTTCACATGTTAAAGTTAGAAAGTCAAGCATAACATACTCTGGACTAGCATCTATATTCAGCAAATCCCACTATAGATGGTATGATAAAGTAAATAACTACGATAAAGAGAGCACAAATGTTCATCATACTTATCTTACTATAAGCTACAACGACTCTTGTTTTGACACCACCTACAACCTAAATCTCTAAATTTGTTTTTGCATCATAATTTGGACCATATGGACTATTATGTCACCCAATATGTTCCTATCCCTTAATCAAGGCCAAAATGGATTCCAACAGTCACCATTTTTATGATTTTGATAACCAAAATCTAATAAAAGATTATCACAGGTGAAAAGGGCTCAGAGTGAATTAATGAGGCACAGGTAAAACACCATTTGGCCAGTAGTTGGTGTTAATTTCCCACTGTGACTGCAATAAACAGAGATGTGATCTGCTCCAACTCGAGTGAGTCATGATCTTAAGAAAGTAAACTGTCCGATTACAATATTTAATTAGCTGTAATGGGTGTCATATACTTTTAAAACACATACACACCCACATATTTCAAGTGCGAGCCAGGTGCGCAGTGTCTAATTGGAGTCGTACTCAAAGGCAGTCTGCCAGGGAATATACTGGGGACAAGGCCAGAGACAGACATGCAACCTTTCACTTACAGGATGGTCTCCGTAGTGGCCAGTTCACACAGTAGAACAAATGAACAATTAAGCAATGTTTTCCATGGGTGGTACTCACTTTGTCGAGTTTGGATTCCAACTCGCACACATCCCCCTCCACTTCCTCTATGGTGGCTCTGTGGGGGAAAAAAAAAACAACATTTAAAAACCAAGTGTAACCATGACTCCATACTACCAACTTCACAGGCGTTGAGAGGCGTTCATGAAGCAGATTGTGAAAAGATAAATGACACACTGCAGGGGAATCTTTATGTAAAGAACATGAACTCCCTCTGCGCCCATTTGGTTTACCATCTTTGCCACATTATTACCATTTTACAGACTCACCATCTGTCCTACGCTCAAGCTAAGTCATTTAATGTTCCACATGACAATTTCTTTTTTGAAGTAGAAGGGAAACAATAAAGAGCACAAGCAAAAAAATTACAGCCACACAGTTACCACTGACATTACATCTAGATTACTTAGATTACTCGTGTTCTATGATTATGGGACTAATACTTGCCAGACTGTTTTATCTTATTTACAACATCTTGGCCTGACATTTTGAAATAAAAGCGGGACTCCAAGTTAACAATTCAGTTTCACCAACACACCCATATTCAACAATTAAAGCCTCTGAAAACTACAACTGTATCCATAATAAATTATATAATATACTTCTACAGTACTGACACAAGCACATGCAGAAACATACACCATTACAGGCAGCCCAACTGAGAGCTGCCATTTTGGGTAAGGCCGCAGGGCTGAAGTCAGGTCTGGCATTCTGCCCTTTAAAACGTGACAAAGCACAGCTTGGTTCTCCACAGGATCAACAGCTTATGAGTATGCGAGAGCTACGACAGGAGAAGAAAAAAACTCAGAGACCTCATCTCAGCACAGGCTCTGTGAATTCATCTCCACTCATTTTTAATTATAATCTGTGCGGTTAAACATGTTACGGTGACCTTATTGCACTGTAGGAAAGGTACATAAAGGGGCTGATAAGGGGCGACTACTACAACTGTACATTTACAACAGAGGTAAGATACAATAAATAAGAGTGCAACAACCACCGCTAATAGTGTTATGAAGCTATTTAGTTAACACCTACTCAAGCCTACATGATGTGCCCAATAATTACAACACAGGGGCAAGTTTGTGTTCGTCACCCTAGTAAGTACGATGCATTATTTATGTTGGCATGGCAACTTCAGTCACATTCTGGTATATTTGTGTTATTTTTCCACCCAACAAAGTAAAAAACACTGGACTCGAGCTGATATCGCAGCGATCATTGACCATGGTCTATTAATGAAAAACCAAAGCAGCAAAAGGCGTCATCGCGGGATTAACAAGATTAACAGAGGACGACAGAGCCAGAGAAGAAAATGTTGGATGATTTTGTTCACAAATTTTAAAACCAAATGCACTACCTTCCTATGAAGTATAGTCTTATATCATTAGTTATGTCCTACAGCTCAGGTTCCACATCTACAACCTTTAAGCAGTAATAATCCTCTAAAAGTTTACTCTCTACACACAATGGGATGGCGCAGTTGGAGCACTCCCTTTCTATTCATTTCTTGTGTAACGGGTTATCTACATTTCAGGCTAATTCTGCTGTTGCCCCCTCTAGTGTAAATCCCTGGAGATAAGAACATTAATTTAATGCTTTAATGTAAATGTCATCGCTTCCATTCAAGTGAAAACTGACATGATATGATGAAGCGCTGTGAGTGTGAGAGTGTGTCAGTTTAAGCAGAGGGATTAAGAGTGACACCCCGCAGTAGCAGTGGGTGGCATTCCCCAAACCCCCTCCAGCTGTTTGTTCTACCGTACGGTGTCACACTGACAGCCGCCAACATCTGGTCACTGTCAGAGATAAACAGGAGGCTGACTGAGCTAGCTGAGAGCTTTCAAATAAAGGGGGTGGGTTCAAGGATTCCTGTGCAGAATCATTTTTACTGTATGTATAGAACGCCTTTTATACTTTATACTGAATCTAAGTAGTATTTTGATTTCACTGTCACTTGATTGCCTTATACAAAATGTAAAATAAATACTCTATATGTCACCTCTCCATTCAAGCTAAATCCACCATAATTATTATTATGATCTTCTACACTTAGGAACACCAATAGCTTTGATGACAACTGAAATAAAAGGTTGGACAGAAAGCTGATTGGTGACAAACTAATATCTGGCTGCATGACAGTCTGGCCTCAGTGCTGCCAAGAGTCTGCCCTTCTGTCCATGACCAAGACACTAAGTCCCACAATCTTCAGGAGTGCTGCTGAACCTGAGCTCGAGCTGAGCTGGTTGGGTAATTCTTGGAATGGATCTGTGATGTTCAGTTGTTGCCACCAGGGAGAAGAAAATAAACAAATGTTAAATATAATTAATCACAAAAGCATGCACAGGCAGAAACAGGACACCAAAACCAAACTGGACAAATATGTTTAGTGGCAGTCCCTTAGGCACTGAACCTATGCTGCTTGAAGGATACACTTGAACTGGCATCATTTTAATTAATCAATGTGTTATATCTTCTGTACTTTATAATTCAACAAACCTAGTCTAACAGAAAAGGCTTGAAACACGTGAACAGTGTCACAGAGTTGCATCACTGTCGCGTTTTCATGAGATTTTATTAACAAACCAGACACAGTGGAATGAACTAAGGACTTAAGTAGACAAGGAGGAGAAAACAGGGTCAAAAGCAATAAAGAGCTTCCCCTTTGATGGAGACATTAATCCTGGTCAAAAGCTAAAGAGCATGTTACGAGCCATGTTTGCCTTTGTCAGTTGCCGAAGGCAAAGTCCATTTCTTTGATGAATCACGCAGAATCATGACTGTTCTGACAGGGCTAGCGTCTGACTTCAAGAGGATTTGGCCTTTTCTTATATTTTTCTATATTTATACACTGGGCATTATGCTGGTACAAATGCAGTGAGTACAACAGTGGTGAGCACAAGCTACAGTCCTTGGCTCACAAACATTACCAACAACCAGAGGGCAGGGGCAAAGCATTCACACAGCAGCAGCATGTCCCAGATTAGTTTTAAGATTTGGGTGCAACAAGGGAATAAGGTAATTACACAGATAGCATCTCCTCACAAAGGCCTGCGCAATAATATGTTTACTGATCAGTTAAATAAAAGCACTGATTGAGGAACTAAAGCATGGGACTGTAAATTCTTCTCTAAGAATTGAATCAACGTATATTTCTTATTCTCACGAACAATCATGCTGTAAGTCTGCGTAAGACCATTGCTCCGGTAGGCGAACAACGCAGGACACCTTCTAGTGGGAAGCTCTCAGTTGCGAATGTGTTCCAACGCAGTGAATCGAAGGCAGGATGGCCTGAAAAAGTTCAAGCGAACTCAACCATCTTTCCCTGAAAAATGATCCTTAGAAATATAACTCAAACCTCTGTCAGCCAGTCACTCTCTGGCTTTCTATGCGACCACGAGAACATGACTATTTCCTTTTAATCTCGTAACTTGAGCCTGCAGGGTGAACTTGTGAAAGTGCTGACAGAGGATAAGAAAAGGAGGGGCCCTGGAAAAATGAAAATCTGGGCCATTGCCTCACAGCTCTGACCTTGGAGCATGTCCAGCCTGAGTCTGGATAATGAGCAGAAGAAGAAAGCATGAGACACAGGATTTTAATTCTAACACACACAGACACACACACACACCTCTTTTTTTACTGGAAAATATGTGCTGATACAGAAGAAAAACACACATAAATCCACAGTGTAGATCACCCACAAATAATATAAATTATGAGGGAAAGAAGACAAAGACAGGGAAGCAGCAGCCCTCAACCTGGCAATTTAACTGATATTGATATACTGACTCCTGTCCTGACCAACTTCCCATAGCTGGCCTGTGACTGGCGGAGCAAGAGTCATTGTCTGATACATACTTCTCCTTTGGGGTCACAGATCCTAAAATTTCTCTCCATTTATTTTGAAAAGTGTAAACACTTGAGTGTTGCATCTTGAACCAACTGACATTATAAAAATAAAAAACCTTTAAGGCTAGAGTAAGTCAAGAGTTCATTATAACTATACTATTGAAGTTTTCATGCATATAATTACACAGATAACACCTCTGGGAATGCATCTTTAAGTATGAACTAGCCAAGAGCCCTATGAACTGCTCAGGTTTATAAACTATAAAATATCTGAGTTATAGAACATCAGGGCATATATCATTTAATTATGTGAATGCTGCCACCCAAAGCTGTGCTTATATGTCTGAAATCCCCATGTCATTAAAACATTCAAAAGCCTTAGAAAATAAGAGATGTAGCCCTCATGTATTCTGTAACTTTAAGACAACAAATTCCTTAAACTAGTACTAAACAAGGCAATAAGTGTAAATAGGGTTTTGTATATTCATCAGACCATACTGTCAATGACAGTGATACAATGTTGTCTCCATACTGCATTATGGCTCCAATAAGCTTGTATCTTTCAACAGCATATGGTGTGATAAAGTCGTCTGAGTGATAAGCCGACAGCCCGGATGATGCAGGTATTTTGCTCTCAGTGCAAAGGGATTCTGGTGAAACATCTGATATCTTTCAGACTGAAAAAGTAGCAGCAGCTATTGCCAAAGCGGACAAGTAAGGGGGGTTTATGTGGTGGAGATGTAATCAGTGGACGAGCTCACCTCCTTGAAGTAAATTTCAATAGACTAGACGACAGTCATAATATGTCATTTGGGGCTACCTTTCATTTCAAATGTTATTATAGCAGCATCATTAGTGCATCCTGTGGGAAACATGAATCCTGGCGGTATTATGGTGTTGACAAACAAACAAATCTTATAGTTTGGTCCACTATATTTTGTGTTTTTGTAATATAAAAATGTAGTTACAGATCTTGAAATATGGTGTAAAAAAATATTTACTTTCTCTAATGTTCTTAGGAGTTACAATCACATGGATAAACAGGTGAATATTAACATCAGTCCAGACTGTGGTATGCAATGTCGAACTGCCAACTTTAATATAGATTTCCTACTGGGACACAACTACAGATTATTTTCATTAAGTACAGTATTATTCTATTGTTTTATCAATAAGTTGTTTATAATATGCCCATCACTTATCCAGA